TGCTGGGTACCTGCCCGGGTCCCCCAGGAGCATAGAAGTCCATGATATAAGGTGTATGTGTTTAATATTAAAGAGCATTTAATTTCATTATTCTGAGCGGTTGCCGTATGGGCCCGAGCACACTGGTTTGCCCAGAAGCCCAAATTGCTGCCGAGCGGTTCTGCCTAAACCCACGACTTTCGGATCCGCAGGCGAGAGTCTAGCATCTATACCACGGCGGCTTCCCCCTCCCCACACACACATTACACACACACATTACACACACACATACACACACATACACACACACATTACACACACACATACACACACATTACACACACACATTACACACACACATACACACACACATACACACACATACACACACACATACACACACACATTACACACACACATACACACACACATACACACACATTACACACACAAATTACACACACACATACACACACATACACACACACATTACACACACACATACACACACATTACACACACACATACACACACACATTACACACACACATTACACACACACATACACACACACATTACAAACACACATACACACACACATTACACACACACATTACACACACACATTACACACACACATACACACACACATTACACACACACATTACAAACACACATACACACACATTACACACACATTACACACACATTACACACACACACATTACACACACACATTACACACACACATTACACACACACATTACACACACACACACATTACACACACACATTACACACACACATTACACACACACACATTACACACACACATTACACACACACATTACACACACACATTACACACACACACATTACACACACACATTACACACACACACATTACACACACACATACACACACACATTACACACACACATTACACACACACACATTACACACACACACATTACACACACATACACACACACATACACACACATTACACACACATACACACACACATTACAAACACACATACACACACACACACACACACACACACACACATTACACACAAAGTAAGAGTTTGTGCCAGTAATACAGACAAAAAGCATGTTGTCAAATCTGCACATTTATACAGAGACAAACCGGCAGACGCCAGAGAGATACACTCATACAACATAGGCCAGTGTTTGACACCTCAAGCCGGATCTGATTAAACCGTTTCTGCAACAGCCAATCTGGCACAGAACAACAAGTGAGCACTTCAAGAATGGTAAGTGAGATCGCTGCCTTAAATAATCCAACATTGTATTTATTTTAGAACTTTGTAGTTGTTTGCTTTTCATTCATGGCTATGATAGTTATCTCTTGTAATCTTCCATTCCTGTGTTTTTTCCTGTTATTTTGTTTTGTTTTGTTTTTGTATTTCGGTTGTCAGCTTTTATAGTGCCCTGTATATTTTCATGTGCATTATTATACTGGTGGTTGAATAGTTAGTCGACAGGTTATCCTCATTGTACATCGGACCATTCAGCCCATAAGTGCTCACATCCCCTTCTCAGTAAAGCCCGCAGCTGTTGACGACACCTGTCTTTTCTTGGTTTGGCATTCTTCTTTGGCTTCCTGTATAGTTCTCGTGTCTGACCACCTACCTTTTTAACATGCTATTCCTGCAGTCTGGTGGTGGTGGCAAATTCAGTCATCACTTCGTTCTTGCAAACGTCTTATTTCATCGTACAGCATTCAGCATATCAACCTGGTTCATTGCTCGTCCGCCCTCCATAGTAGCTTTACCAGCAAGCCCATCAGCTTGTTCATACCCTTGCACGTCTGCGTGTCCTGGTAGAAATATAAATCTGCTTTTTGTCACCCTGATCACCTAAGAGACTCCAACTTTTGTCTTCGGACCCAGCCCATCTCTATCTTCCTGAGCATACCACTGAGTCACTGAGAAAACATGCACGGGCAAAGGTCTGTGTCTCCAGCAACGACCGACTTTGGAAAAACCTCGATTCAAATTTGGTGACGTTACTTCCCTAAGCAGACACAAAATGGCTGTCATGTGTGTTTCATATGTGTTAGGTTTTATTTGTGATGTCATATAGTAACAGTAATAAGTTATCTCACCTTCACTTTTGATTCACTTATAAGTGGTGTTTTCAGGGAGTATTTTTAACAAGTTCTTTGTGTGATTCGCTTTAAATTTATCTTTAGTGTGTTGTGTTTTCATGGAGCAGCACCTCATTACTACATTACTACACTTTAATAACTTCTCGTCTCTTAATTTCTCAATGCCTCTCAAATGCAGGTTATTTCTAAGAGGAGTTATTTACATATTTCAAAGAGAAACTGCCAAAACATTTCTAATCGAAACACTTGACTTATTTCTAGAATGAATTGTTAACGAATCTTTAAAAAGGAAATAATAATATAGTTATGAAAGGGACTGCTAATATCTTTTTTAAAGGAACTGTTGACATATAAATATTTCTTACATACACTGGTAACTCATTAAAAAAAAAAAAAAAAATTGTCAGTGAATCTCTAATAGAACTAACAGATTTTAACATAAACTGCCAATAAATCTCCAACATGCGCTGCCAACAGTTGTTAATATAAATTGCCAGTAAATCTCTAACATTCACTACCAATAGATGCTAACAAAAATTGCTAAGTCTCTAGCATAATAGTATAATATAAAAGTTTTTGTTGTATTTTCTGTTTCTATGTTGTTCTGTCTATTTTGGGCTGAAAATGGGACAGTCTAATCAATTACCCCCCCCCCCCCCCCCCCCCCATTTAAAAAGAAAATCCTTTGCCCCACTAAAAGATCTAGAATTTATTAATATTATTTTTAATTACGGAGCTAATATATTTTAAGAGATGAGATTTGTCACAGACCTCTGGGTGACCTTGCTGGTCCGTGGCTCGTAACTGGGCCTATGCCAGATAAACTAACCTTTAACACACACTGAACCCGAACGCACACAGAGCACACACGACAATCTTTATTGCAAGTACAGGTAATACAATAGACAGTTGACTTCCCGCTGTGTGGCCACCTATTGCTTGGACCCTCTGGCCGAACGAGCTTTACAATCGCCTCGTTCTCCAGTCCGTTCCACAAGCAATCTCCTGGTGCACAAACCACACTGGCACGAGATACGCTCTTACCTATCGACACACTGAACAACCAAACTGTCACAGCCTCTGTCTAGTGCAGGGTCAGAGTGCCAAGGTTAGACATTCTCTCACAGAACATGTACCTAAACGAATTAACTGGTCAAAAGTAACTGGAACCTATCTACCTCTTATGGCACAACATAATACCTTGTACCAGTTAAATACACAACACAAAAACTATCCTATTCTAACAGAATACTGTACATAACTTATGCAGTCACTAACATAAATATCCTAACTCGAATATACTATCACTGTCTCGCAAACACGTCTGCTCTCTCTGACCGCTGTACACAGAATCTCCCGTGTTCCTTTCACCTCGTGTCTTTTGACCCGTTCACCAGCTCAGTCCCAAAAGGGGTAATCGTCTGCAATCGAGTTCACCCTTTCTTGTCGTGACCAAGCAATTTATCCTGAGCGCTGGTTTGCACCGTGTAATAACAGAACAGACTTGACCAGTCACGGCCCTGATCTTTATGTCAACCCTGGGGTGTCACCTCAAAACGCACACCCTACGGTGTAGTCTATTCCGCCACTGACTGTACTCATAGGGTTGTGACAAGATTATATAAGCCTGTCAACCGTTTACGCCATACTAATTAATTAATATTAAAGTGTTTTTCTCTAGGATTCCCTTTTAAGTTTGTCATTCTTTTATCCAGCTTATTCCTATATTTTAGCCGGAAACACACCGAAAAAAAAAAAAAAAAACAGGCCTGTCAGAGTAAAAACGGAACGTATCGTTAGCCCGACGTGGTGACGTCACATCAGCTCCACGGCCCATACTTTGCTCCAGTCATATTTTTGGTCTGGTCACTACCACGACCTCCACAGTCAGGCTACTTGTTGTCCAGGCAACAGTGTTACATCAACATCAAGTGAAGGGAAAAAAATCGAATGCTTTTCGCAAATATACACAAATGACACTGTCTTCTTACTGTTAAACTGTATATATCAAGACTGGATTGTAGACAACCACGTGACTATCGTTTATTTAGCTGCTCAACATGGGATTGGATTTTTGGCTATGCACTAACATTGACTGACTGAATATATTCTACCTATATGTATATATATATATATATATGCCCGGCTCTCTAGCGAAGTTGGTTAAACCTGACTTTCGCGGCGGCTGGGTGCCGAACTCCTTGTGGTCCGGGTTCACTCCCGGGGGTAGGCAGAAAAGCCACATTTCTCCCAGATTAATGGTACCTATAATGGAATCAATGCCGAAGGGTTGCGATATCCATAGTACTGAGCCAAAGGGTTTACAACTCATGGTTTCTGGATACGTAAAATAAAAAAAAAAAAAAAATATATATATGTGTGTGTGTGTGTGTGTGTGTGTGTGTGTGTGTGTGTGTGTGTGTGTGTGTAAGCGCACGCGTGTATGTATGTGTGTCTAGCTTGTGTCTGACATCTATGTGTGCGTATTTGTGTTTCAGTACGGGTTTGTCAACTACGCTTTGGAGTTACTGGTGTTGAGAAACTTTGGGGAAGATGCCTGGACAAAGATTAAGTATTACTTTCATTGGTATCGTCATCATCATCATCATTCTCATTCTCATCACCCCACCAACAAAACATCACTATTACAGTTATCATGATCACCCCAATCGTCAAACGGACAAACATCACAATCATCTTCATTGAAGTTTCATTGCTATAAACATAATCTTCACCAGTAATATCAATGTGGCACATCGCCATTTGTGTTATATTCTAACCACTGACCCGCCATTATGTAATAATTTGACGACTGACCCGTCACTTGTTGTTGCGTTTCAGCGACAGACACCACAATCGGTGTTATATTTCAATGACTGACTTGACACACAGTGTTATATTTTAACGACCAACCTAATAATCAGTGTTATACTTTAACGAATGACCCGACGCTCAGTGTTATATTTTAACGACTGATAGGACAGTCAGTGTTATAGTTTAACGCCTGATCCAATGTTCAGTGTTATAATTAAACAACTGACCTGACAATCAGTGTTATAATTTAACGACTGACCCGATGTTCAGTGTTATAGTTAAACAACTGACCTGACAATCAGTGTTATAGTTTCACGACTGACCCGATGTTCAGTGTTATAATTAAACAACTGACCTGACAATCAGTGTTATAGTTTCACGACTGACCCGATGTTCAGTGTTATAATTAAACAACTGACCTGACAATCAGTGTTATAGTTTCACGACTGACCTGACGCTCAGTGCTATAATCAAACAACTGACCTGACAATCAGTGTTATAGTTTAACGGCTGATCCGACGCTCAGTGTTATAATCAAACAACTGACGTGACAATTTTCGTGTCTAGTCTGTGGTCTGACAATTACCACCTGGCGTTGTCTGGTGAAGGTGAAGGGTACAGACCTAGGATTATGTTTGCTTGGAGATATTCAGACGCTCCTGGGAACGTGCAGGTGTGAGCGCCCGGTGATGTTAACACATTCAAGGAGATGTTTGTTTATATTGGAGCGTTATCTATCTTTGGGAGTCATGCACGTCACGCATTTTTAAATGCAAAGTGGCTAGCTGAACGGTTAAGAAAGCTGGGCTCTCATTGCTGGAGAGCCGTGTTCGAAATCCTCGCTAGGGTTGGGTTTTTTCCTGTCGGGGGCAAAACTAAGGTTTTTATCTGCACAGTGAGTGGCGACACTACTAAACGTAAGGGCCTAAATTCTCAAACTCAAGCCCACTGTCCCACACTCATACCGCCTACACCGTAAAGTGGCAAATACAAGAATTAATAGAAGTTTGACACCTGTGCTTTTTAACTGAACCAGTAGCCACGATGACAGTTGTAGTTGTAGTAAAAGTTTCTGCAGTAACAGCAGCAGTAGCAGTAGTAGTAGCAGCAGTAGCAGCAACAGTAGCAGTAGTAGTAGTGGTAGTAGTAGTAATAGCAGTAGTAGTAGTAGTATTCTGTAATACATATTTTGTTTGGGGGGGGGGGGGGAAGAACCATAATATATTAAAACAATTATGTACTGGGGTCATATTCAAATACTTTCCGATTTTATGTAAAGGGGATTATAGAATTGTTTGAGCGGTTGTGGAAGTTAGTTGCACAGATGAGAGATAGAATATGCCAAGCTTGTTTTGCGCGGGTCTATCTTACATTTTGGGATATGTTGTATGTTTAGGCATTTGTAAGTCTTCCATTAAGTTGAAACAACGGCCAAACAAAAGGACCGAGAGGCAAGGATATCCAAAGGAAATCTTAGGACGAATCTTGATGAGAGGGGCCAGCGCTGTTGGAATATATTTAATCCATGATATCGGAGCAATTGTACTAGGAAAGAACAGGCTGGAATAATAGACTGCTAGCCCTATGGGACATTTTGGAACAGTAAATAATGATAATGATGATGATGATGATGACATTAGACAAACACAAGAAACGCTCCCTTGTACACATGGTATACTTTGACCTATCACTTCACGGTTCAAGGTTGCCACATACACAAATAGTTTTAAAAAAAATGGAATATATCTTCTAGAACAGCGGTTATCAAACTTTCTAATGCCGCTACCCTTTAATACAGTTCTTCGTGTTTTGGTGACCCCAAATCATAAACAAATGTTCGCTGCTACGTCACAACTTCAGTAAATATGTTTTCCGATGGTCTTAGGCGATCCATATGAAAGGGTCATTGGATGTCCAAACAGGTTGAGAGCGAACGAACTTTATTTTCGAAGGGTCACAAATTGGGCACGCAGGCCCGTTTTACATTGGGTCCTTCCAAACACCGTATTTCACACACCAGTTGTATTTTATCAATAAGCATGTTATATTCATATGAGAATCGCTGTTCTAGAATGTTCAAACCATGGCGTACTGTAGATCTAAATTAGGTCATGTTCAAACCATGACGTACTGTAGATCTAAAAAAGGTCATGTTCAAACCATGGCTTACTGTAGATCTAAATAAGGTCATGTTCAAACCTTGACGTACTGTAGATCTAAATTAGGTCATGTTTAAACCATGGCGTACTGTAGATCTAAAAAAGGTCATGTTCAAACCATGACGTACTGTAGATCTAAATTAGGTCATGTTCAAACCATGACGTACTGTAGATCTAAAAAAGGTCATGTTCAAACCATGGCTTACTGTAGATCTAAATAAGGTCATGTTCAAACCTTGACGTACTGTAGATCTAAATTAGGTCATGTTCAAACCATGACGTACTGTAGATCTAAAAAAGGTCATGTTCAAACCATGACGTACTGTAGATCTAAATAAGGTCATGTTCAAACCATGACGTACTGTAGATCTAAAAAAGGTCATGTTCAAACCATGACGTACTGTAGATCTAAATAAGGTCATGTTCAAACCTTGACGTACTGTGGATCTAAATTAGGTCATGTTCAAACCATGACGTACTGTAGATCTAAATTAGGTCATGTTCACACCATGACGTACTGTAGATCTAAATTAGGTCATGTTCACACCATGACGTACTGTAGATCTAAATTAGGTCATGTTCAAACCAATGTTATACATCCATGTCATCTCTGTTATAGCCGCGGAAGACAAGTTAAAATAGTAAGATTAAAGGCAGCCATGTGGCCAGTTTTTGCGGTGAAGCGACAAGTTACAAAACTGTCGTACTGCAGAACTGGACGTCCCACTGGGCACCAGGCTTAGAGTGAGGGCGGCCGGTACACTGTGCCAGGGGCCGAGGGAAATCGGAGAAACCCATAAAGGGGGAAAAGTATCAACTTCACCGCATGTGTATATTGTGTCCTAATTGTTTATATACTAAAGTGTAGTATTGTTTTTAATACGTTTTACTGAAGTATCTATCCTCTTGTTAAGATACTTAGCAAGTATGTTTAAATGTAATTAATAAAGGCACAGTTATAAGGTTAGGAAAAGAATTATTGCATGCTATATAGAGCCAGTTTTAACATTCGACTATGAATCCTAGACAATTAATAAACAAGCCGAACAGTTTCTTGAGGCCTCGGAAATGTGGTTTTACAGAAGAATCCATTGAACAGCTAAGAAGAGCAACCCAGATGTTTTATAAGAGGCAAGTGCTCGAAAACAACTTATCACAATTTTTTTGTCATGTTATGAGAAGAGGGTAAATGGAACATGTCGTGACCACTGGAAAGATTTGTGGGAAGAGCGTCAGAGGAAGACACGGAGAGAAGATTCCTGACAGTCTTTTTGTCAAGGCTTAGAAGGGTGTCAACATACGAACTGATACATACAACTGCGTATCGCAGATTGTGGAGAGGCATGATCGCCCACGCCTGTCGAATAGTCACTTGATGATGATAAGAGATATGACACTTTGACTGATGTGTTTATGTGTAGGTGGGGACATACATTAGGCTTAATTCAGCACTCAGTAATTCTCTGAGCGGCCCTGTACGGCACTAACAGTTTTCATTTACCTGTTCAGACAAGAGGCCTACCTGGATTTGGAAGGCGATTTCTTGGTGCGTCAAGTCTATGAAGACAGCATCTCCTACGACCTGGTGGGCGCCGCATGCAAAGTCCTCAGTAAGTCATCTAAAATACACCATTATCAACATTACCCGCGCACAATGTAAATTGAACCCCAGCACTCCAAGATCAAACCATTGTTCTTGGGGGGGGGGGGGGGGGCCGCGAGGGAGTGTTTTAAAGGAGCTAATAGCCCCTTTTTATCTCAGCATGTGTAGACATTCAAATGACAAATATAAGTATACTTCAAAATAGGGCTGTACCGAATATTCGCTTCGTATTCGCTTTGGGGTCGAATAGAGGACCTATTGACTATTCGGTATTCAGCCGAATAGTTGCGGTCGGGCCGAATACGAATAGTAGTTACCTTACACCCGCTTCTGCATACACGGCCTTAATGACATCATGGAACAATTAGTTTTGTTGAAAGCTAATGCAGCTTTCATACATTAACTAACCTGTCAGTGACAATTTCCAAGTTTAGTTACTTGTTATAATACTTAGGATTCTTTCATTCCTAGTTATTAGTTACCACAGACTGACTGAAGGATGCAAAACATAAGATGTTTTTAAATGTTTACTATTCTGTACGAATACTAACTAGACATGGAAAGAATATAAACTCCGGCGACATCCAAGTCGATAATATGAAAATCAAACGAACTGAAATATATAAGTACTTGGGTGCAAACTTCAACAGCTCCAGCATGCTGAGAGAAGAAATACAATCTAGAATACAATTGGAAAAAAAGTATACTATGCCCTTTAGCATCTGCTAAAGTCAAAGTGTCTGTCTCGCAACACCAAGATCAAAATATATAAAACGTTGATAAGACCAGTCGTTTTATATGGCTCTGAAACTTGAAACAGAAATAAAAGGATAATGCCTTATTACAGGTTTTAAAAAACAGTCTTATTACTAATCTTTGGACCCATCAAAGTTGCAAACAGCGGGGAATGGAAAGTGAGAAGCAACAACGAAATTCATAATCTGTTTAAATCACCATTGATTACTGGCATCATGAGAGCTAACAGACTAAAATGGTTGAGGCATACTGAAAGAATGTCAGATGACAGAGAAGTAACAACTGTATACACCTGAGAGAGGAATGGACGTAGACCACGAGGCAGACAAAAAAGCAAAAAATAAGTTCGAGAGATAATGTCCAGCCAGACCTGCAAACAACTGGTGTCACAAATTGTGAAGAGAAGGCCAGCCAGAGAGATGGTTGGAGACGAGTGATATCTGCAAGGGCTCAGAATGCTAAAGAAGAAGATGACTATTCTGTGCTACTTTATGTGAAGCAAAGGTTCAGCGTACATTTTACAATATGAATGTGTGTGTGTGTGTGTGTGTGTGTGTGTGTGTGTGTGTGTGTTAGATATATTTCATACACTATACACTATTCGTATTCGTATTCGTATTCAACCGAATAGTTGGTCCCGTTATTCGTATTCGGTGGAATAGTGAAAATCCCTATTCGGTACAGCCGTACTTTAAAATCATGTTAATGAATTAATGAACCAATGAAAGAATGAATGAATGAATGAATGAATGAATGAATGAAAGAATGAATGAATGAATGAATGAATGAATGAATGAATGAATGAATGAATGAATGAATGAATGAATGAATCAAGAATTGACAACTCTCACTGCATTTGGGATATTACTTTTCCTGCTTCATCCCCCTCTTCAGCAGCCAACGAAAGGTCGACATAATAATAGCACCAGTTGTAACCTGAATAAAAGTCCACACGTTTTACCCTCAGTATTGAATATCTCTGGCCGAGCGGTTACAACCTCGGGCTGTCATGCAGGAAACCCGGGTTCAACACCCCCCTCCCCCCAACCGATAAGGTGATGTTTTTCTGACGTGGGCAAACTTAAACATCATAACCCGCACAGTCTGTGGCGACAGCACTAGCCATGCGGCCCTAAATCCTTAGGCTCAAGGCCCCCTTGTCTACGCCACCCTAAAAAAAAAGGGTAAAACAGATAGTAGTTACAGTTTGACAGTGGAAAATCTTGCAGAACCTCTACTCTCCACCCCCACGCCCCCCCCCCCCCCACCCCCCCCCCCCCCCGTAAAAATATGAAATGTATAAACAAATCGTATTAAAGATAATTTCTATACAAGGTTACACAATTATTGGAAAGGTCCACATTCCGGCCCCCTACCTCCACCCCAAAAAAAGGCCGTTGGGGTGGGGGGGGGGGGGGCTGTTTGTGGCCAAAATAGGCCTGAGCAGCTTTAAGCGCCTTACTGACTGAAGAATTGCTGACATCTTACAATTAACTTTTTCATCCTAATCACATCATCATCATCGTCATAGCCACCATCGTCATCATCATCATCATCATCATCATCGTTATCATCATCATCATCATCAATATTATAACTACCATTATCATCATCAACCACGTTGGCCGTTAAGTGCCGTGATGAGAAACAGTCTGCGATTCAGTGCACGCCGGCTGCTACTGGCTTTTGATATACTTTTTAACTGGCTATAATTTTTTTTTTTAAAATAAAGATCTCTTTTCACGTCCTTCAAGCATGGGACATGTAGGTACTAGATCGTGTTTACTATCACGCCAGTCCCCTTTACTTCCCAGGACATTGCCTGGTATCAGTTTTAGGCTGGGTCGATCTGGGGCCCAAAGTTAAACTTAACCTGAAAAGTTATAAAAGTTACTCTTATTAATAATGGTAAATATAATTTTTCTTGATAATGAATATATTTGTCAAAATAAATAGGATATTAATCATGATAAATTTTACAATAAACTATTATAAATCTGAGAATAAATCATGATAAATCATCCAGATGTGGATGCGGCTACTGTGCTACAGTTGTTTGGGAAAATGTTCTTTATCTACTGCAAGGAATCCGGCTATGACAAAATCCTCAAGGTAAGTATCAAACACTTTTATGTTCGAGATTAGTTCTCAAGGTTAGTATCTTACATTGCAATGTTCTGGATCAGTTCTTCAGGCTAGTATCCTACATTTCAACGTTCTTTATCAGTTTTTATGGTTAGTATCCTACATTTCAACGTTCTTTATCAGTTTTTATGGTTAGTATCCTACATTTCAACGTTCTTTATCAGTTTTTATGGTTAGTATCCTACATTTCAACGTTCTTTATCAGTTTTTATGGTTAGTATCCTACATTTCAACGTTCGTTATCAGTTTTTATGGTTAGTATCCTACATTTCAACGTTCTTTATCAGTTTTTATGGTTAGTATCCTCCATCTCAACGTTCTTTATCAGTTTTTATGGTTAGTATCCTACATTTCAACGTTCTTTATCAGTTTTTATGGTTAGTATCCTACATTTCAACGTTCTTTATCAGTTTTTATGGTTAGTATCCTACATTTCAACGTTCTTTATCAGTTTTTATGGTTAGTATCCTACATTTCAACGTTCTTTATCAGTTTTTATGGTTAGTATCCTACATTTCAACGTTCTTTATCAGTTTTTATGGTTAGTATCCTACATTTCAACGTTCTTTATCAGTTTTTATGGTTAGTATCCTACATTTCAACGTTCTTTATCAGTTTTTATGGTTAGTATCCTACATTTCAACGTTCTTTATCAGTTTTTATGGTTAGTATCCTACATTTCAACGTTCTTTATCAGTTTTTATGGTTAGTATCCTACATTTCAACGTTCTTTATCAGTTTTTATGGTTAGTATCCTACATTTCAACGTTCTTTATCAGTTTTTTATGGTTAGTATCCTACATTTCAACGTTCTTTATCAGTTTTTATGGTTAGTATCCTACATTTCAACGTTCTTTATCAGTTTTTATGGTTAGTATCCTACATTTCAACGTTCTTTATCAGTTTTTATGGTTAGTATCCTACATTTCAACGTTCTTTATCAGTTTGTATGGTTAGTATCCTACATTTCAACGTTCTTTATCAGTTTTTATGGTTAGTATCCTACATTTCAACGTTCTTTTATCAGTTTTTATGGTTAGTATCCTACATTTCAACGTTCTTTATCAGTTTTTATGGTTAGTATCCTACATTTCAACGTTCTTTATCAGTTTTTTATGGTTAGTATCCTACATTTCAACGTTCTTTATCAGTTTTTATGGTTAGTATCCTACATTTCAACGTTCTTTATCAGTTTTTATGGTTAGTATCCTACATTTCAACGTTCTTTATCAGTTTTTATGGTTAGTATCCTACATTTCAACGTTCTTTATCAGTTTTTATGGTTAGTATCCTACATTTCAACGTTCTTTATCAGTTTTTATGGTTAGTATCCTACATTTCAACGTTCTTTATCAGTTTTTATGGTTAGTATCCTACATTTCAACGTTCTTTATCAGTTTTTATGGTTAGTATCCTACATTTCAACGTTCTTTATCAGTTTTTATGGTTAGTATCCTACATTTCAACGTTCTTTATCAGTTTTTATGGTTAGTATCCTAATTTCAACGTTTCTTTATCAGTTTTTTATGGTTAGTATCCTACATTTCAACGTTCTTTATCAGTTTTATGGTTAGTATCCTACATTTCAACGTTCTTTATCAGTTTTTATGGTTAGTATCCTACATTTCAAACGTTCTTTATCAGTTTTTATGGTTAGTATCCTACATTTCAACGTTCTTTATCAGTTTTTATGGTTAGTATCCTACATTTCAACGTTCTTTATCAGTTTTTATGGTTAGTATCCTACATTTCAACGTTCTTTATCAGTTTTTATGGTTAGTATCCTACATTTCAACGTTCTTTATCAGTTTTTAAGGTTAGTATCCTACATTTCAACGTTCTTTATCAGTTTTTATGGTTAGTATCCTACATCTCAGTGTTTTAGATCAGTTCTCAAGGTTAGTTTCCCAGTTTTAAAATGTTCTAATTTACTTTTTGATGTGTTTTAGATCAGTTCTCAAGGTTAGTTTCCCATTTTTAAAATGTTCTAATTTACTTTTTGATGTGTTTTAGATCAGTTCTCAAGGTTAGTTTCCCAGTTTTAAAATGTTCTAATTTACTTTTTGATGTGTTTTAGATCAGTTCTCAAGGTTAGTTTCCCAGTTTTAAAATGTTCTAATTTACTTTTTGATGTGTTTTAGATCAGTTCTCAAGGTTAGTTTTCCAGTTTTTAAATGTTCGAATTTACTCTTTGATGTGTTTTAGATCAGTTCTCGAGGTTAGTTTTTCAGCTTTAAAATGTTCTAGTTTACTGTTTCATGTGTTTTAGATCAGTTCTTAAGGTTAGTTTCCCAGTTTTAAAATGTTCTAATTTACTGTTTGATGTGTTTTAGATCAGTTCTCAGGGTTAGTTTCCCAGTTTTAAAATGTTCTAATTTACTGTTTGATGTGTTTTAGATCAGTTCTCAAGGTTAGTTTCCCAGTTTTAAAATGTTCTAATTTACTGTTTGACGTGTTTTAGATCAGTTCTCAAGGTTAGTTTCCCAGTTTTAAAATGTTCTAATTTACTTTTTGATGTGTTTTAGATCAGTTCTCAAGGTTAGTTTCCCAGTTTTAAAATGTTCTAATTTACTGTTTGATGTGTTTTAGATCAGTTCTCAAGGTTAGTTTCCCAGTTTTAAAATGTTCTAATTTACTGTTTGATGTGTTTTAGATCAATTCTCAAGGTTAGTTTCCCAGTTTTAAAATGTTCTAATTTACTGTTTGATGTGTTTTAGATCAGTTCTTAAAGCTAATTTGCCAGCTTCTCATCACGCACACTCTTTTTAAGCACACCTACAAACACACTATCACACACACATACACAACACACACACACCATCTCTCTCTCTCTCTCTCTCTCACACACACACCATCCCTCTCTCACATACACAAAAATCACGTGTGCAAACACACACAAGCACTATCACGCAAACACGCACTATTACACACACCCGCACACATACCATCACGCACGCACACACATTTACCATCGCGCGCACACACACCATCACACACACACACACCAGCACACATCATCACGCACTCACTCACACACCATGAAGCACACACACACACACACACCATGAGGCATACACCATCATGACTATACATCATCACGCACTCACTCACACACCATGAAGCACACACACACACACCATGAGGCATGCACCATCATGACTATACATCATCACGCACTCACTCACACACCATGAAGCACACACACACACACACACACCATGAGGCATACACCATCATGACTATACATCATCACGCACTCACTCACACACCATGAAGCACACACACACACACACACCATGAGGCATACACCATCATGACTATACATCATCACGCACTCACTCACACACCATGAAGCACACACACACACACACACCATGAGGCATACACCATCATGACTATACATCATCACGCACTCACTCACACACCATGACGCACACACACACACACACACCATGAGGCATACACCATCATGACTATACATCATCACGCACTCACTCACACACCATGAAGCACACACACACACACACACCATGAGGCATACACCATCATGACTATACATCATCACGCAAACACTCACACACCATGAAGCACACACACACACACACACCATGAGGCATACACCATCATGACTATACATCATCACGCACTCACTCACACACCATGAAGCACACACACACACACCATGAGGCATACACCATCATGACTATACATCATCACGCACTCACTCACACACCATGAAGCACACACACACACACACACACCATGAGGCATACACCATCATGACTATACATCATCACGCACTCACTCACACACCATGAAGCACACACACACACACACACCATGAGGCATACACCATCATGACTATACATCATCACGCACTCACTCACACACCATGACGCACACACACACACACACACCATGAGGCATACACCATCATGACTATACATCATCACGCACTCACTCACACACCATGAAGCACACACACACACACACACCATGAGGCATACACCATCATGACTATACATCATCACGCAAACACTCACACACCATGAAGCACACACACACACACACACACACCATGAGGCATACACCATCATGACTATACATCATCACGCACTCACTCACACACCATGAAGCACACACACACACACCATGAGGCATACACCATCATGACTATACATCATCACGCACTCACTCACACACCATGAAGCACACACACACACACCATGAGGCATACACCATCATGACTATACATCATCACGCACTCACTCACACACCATGAAGCACACACACACACACCATGAGGCATACACCATCATGACTATACATCATCACGCACTCACTCACACACCATGAAGCACACACACACACACCATGAGGCATACACCATCATGACTATACATCATCACGCACTCACTCACACACCATGAAGCACACACACACACACACACACCATGAGGCATACACCATCATGACTATACATCATCACGCACTCACTCACACACCATGAAGCACACACACACACACCATGAGGCATACACCATCATGACTATACATCATCACGCACTCACTCACACACCATGAAGCACACACACACACACCATGAGGCATACACCATCATGACTATACATCATCACGCACTCACTCACACACCATGAAGCACACACACACACACACACACACCATGAGGCATACACCATCATGACTATACATCATCACGCACTCACTCACACACCATGAAGCACACACACACACACCATGAGGCATACACCATCATGACTATACATCATCACGCACTCACTCACACACCATGAAGCACACACTCACACACACACCATGAGGCATACACCATCATGACTATACATCATCACGCACTCACTCACACACCATGACGCACACACACACACACACACCATGAGGCATACACCATCATGACTATACATCATCACGCAAACACTCACACACCATGAAGCACGCACACATACCATCGCAAATAGAGACAATGGAGTCAAGGATTGCACACAGACTTGGAGCCAGTATCTGAGAAGGAAGATCTGAAAGGGAATAGAGACAGTAGGATCAACTATTGCACACAGACTTGGAGCCAGCATCTGAGAAGGAAGATCTGGAAGGGAATAGAGACAGTAGGATCAACTATTGCACACAGACTTGGAGCCAGCATCTGAGAAGGAAGATCTGGAAGGGAATAGAGACAGTAGGATCAACTATTGCACACAGACTTGGAGCCAGCATCTGAGAAGGAAGATCTGGAAGGGAATAGAGACAGTAGGATCAACTATTGCACACAGACTTGGAGCCAGCATCTGAGAAGGAAGATCTGGAAGGGAATAGAGACAGTAGGATCAACTATTGCACACAGACTTGGAGCCAGCATCTGAGAAGGAAGATCTGGAAGGGAATAGAGACAGTAGGATCAACTATTGCACACAGATTTAAAGCCAGCATCTGAGAAGGAAGATCTGGAAGGGAATAGAGACAGTAGGATCAAGGATTGCACACAGACTTAGAGCCAGTATCTGAGAAGGAAGATCTGAAAGGGAATAGAGACAGTAGGATCAAGGATTGCACACAGACTTAGAGCCAGTATCTGAGAAGGAAGATCTGAAAGGGAATAGAGACAGTAGGATGAAGGATTGCACACAGACTTAGAGCCAGTATCTGAGAAGGAAGATCTGAAAGGGAATAGAAAAAGTATGATGAAGGATTGCACACAGACCTAGAGCCAGCATATGAAAAGGAAGCTCTGAAAGGTAATAGAGACAGTAGGATCAAGTATTGCACACAGATTCAAAGCCAGCATCTGAGAAGACACATGTGAATTACCTGTGACGACAAAGGGAGGATTCTGAGACCCCAGACACTTTTTATGATCGACTGTTCGCAAGCTGCACTGAACGTCCCCCCCCCCCCCCCCCCCCACCCCCCCCCCCCCCCCCCCCCCCCCCCCCCCCCCCCCCCCCCGGCTACCATCAGGGGATTTGAGTCGCACGACGCACTACACTCCAATAGGATACTATCGCCCGGACAAACAGAAATGTGATAATCAACCAATGATTATTTGGCATATTTGCTTGGCATCTTTCCGTCTTTCCAGACGATAGTGTTTTATTGTGTTACGAGGAGGCATGGGGCTCATAGCCCATGACGGTGGCGAGTGTGGTTCCTCTCCATAGCCAAAGCCTGATCAGTATTGCAGAGACCACATTTCGCCCATGCGCTATGAGCTCTATCTTACACCTGCATTGTTTACTCCAAAGAAGTAAACTGCGTTAGCACAGTCAATAAGAGGCACACTTTCAAATCCAGGTGCGACTTGCTGCAGCCCACGGTCGGTGTTCGAAATCGGGCGGCTTCCGGAGTTCACCCAGCCTCTAGGAAATGGGTAGCAGAGTGATAGTCTGGGGTAAATGGAGGAACGTCGCTGTAGCTACAGAGTTACGTGTGAACGGCGACACAGTCGGACAATTCTTATCAGATGTCCGTACAGAGCACTTATGGTTTAAAACCGTGTGCAATGACGCTGGTTCACATCTCCCGACTTTACCTTTTTTTTAAAACTCCAGAGGAAAGGTAAGACTAGTACGTTCAGAACATAGCTGACTGCCGAAGCTGCCGCATAAGACAGGAAGTGCTCTATCTGTCTGCCTGTCGGAGCTTTCCCCCTAGACCAACTGCCAGCCAAGGCTAAGGGTTTGGTCTGTCCTGCCAAAACATATAGTTTTCAGGTCAACCAATGTATGTTAATATTAATTAATTAGGAAGGCTGTTAAAAAGAGTCCATCTCCACCAGGTGTTAGGAGCAACCACCAGAGAGTTTCTTGAAAACCTGGACGCTCTGCACGACCACCTGTCCACCATCTATCCTGGCATGCGAGCTCCTTCCTTCCGGTGTACGGTCCGGCCAACAGACGGCGCCACCGTCCTGCACTACTACTCGGACCGACCTGGTCTAGAACACATCGTTATTGGCATTGTCAAGGTAGGACAGCTGTTCTAGTCTCAATCTATATGGGTCGTTTCATTTTCTTTTTCTCTTGAATCTCTTTCTTTTGATACTGTTCCATTAAAATTATTTGCCCTTGAATCTCTTCCTCCGAAATCTATACATTTTTAATGCGTCATCTCGAATCCTGTCGATCTTAACTCATTCTTCTTGAAACTCTTTCTGTTGAGTCTCTTCCTCTGACAGTCACCATTCCTCTGGAATCTCGTCCTTCTTTTTTTTCTTTACTGCCTCTTTCTCTTCCATCTCTTCCTTTTAAAATCCTTTCCTCTTGAAACTTTTCCTCATGAAGTCTTTCCTCTTGAAAAAAACTAATGTATTGACGCTTTTTCTCCCCCCCCCCCCCCTTTTGTGGTATATTTACCTCTGCCTGCTACATTTACTATATCTGTAATTAACATTAGTCTTTTGGTGATGTTGTTAGCAAACTTTTGGTGATGTTGTTAGCAAACTTTTGGTGATGTTGTTAACAAACTTTTGGTGATGTTGTTAGCAAACTTGTGGTGATGTTGTTAGCAAACTTTTGGTGACGTTGTTAGCAAACTTGTGGTGATGTTGTTAGCAAACTTTTGGTGACGTTGTTAGCAAACTTTTGGTGATGTTGTTAGCAAACTTTTGGTGATGTTGCTAGTAAACTTTTGGTGATGTTGTTAGCAAACTTTTGGTGATGTTGTTAGCATATTTTAAAGAGGCATTTTATGTCAACGTCTACATGCTTGTATTCTGTGTGTAGTGTTTAGTTACGTAATGTTGACAGTTATTTCCATGTCACCATGAGAGGCAGTATACATTTTTTCCTATTCCCTCCGTGTTTCCATTCTCACAAGTCGTCCCAGTTGTCACACATGAATACGTTTTTCTTTTTTCATAGAAACGTTGGTCATCGCCTCAATCGTGTTGTACCATGTAGGCGGCCTTAGGTAATCTTTTAAGCGATCACTAGATTCATCGATCAAGTCAATGCTCCACTCCTTCCCTCTTAATTCCTATGGCTAAGCCATCAAGGTATTTATCTCTACGTCGTCCCCTTGTCTCCTTCCGCGTCAATCTTGCCTCATCTTCCCCTTGACTTCCGGTCAAAATGGACGCTAGGCATGGGCACTGTTTGGAGCCGAGGCAAAGTTTTTGCTTCTGCTGGACGGTGGCCGATGCATTTTTGCTCCATTTGTAGACTGGATTTAGTTTCGTCACCCAGCTTCTGAGATGAATGCATGGCATGACACTGTGAGCTGGGTGGTGTGAATTGTAGATTAAGAAAATGGTGCTATTCATGTTGTCGCAATGTTGGTGGTGCCCGTATGTGATTAAAATTGATCGTGTGGAAAACTGCTGATCTATTGGTGACTTCTGCTACCATCAATGATGAACTGTATTTCTAATGTCGGACTGTTTGTGTTAGCACTTCGGATGGCTACTGTATGCTTTAATGCGAGTTTATGCTAGATATGCTGAGACAGCAGTCTGTCAACCTTTCCACAAGTGACTGTGATAAACATTCTGTGTTTTTTTCGGTGGCACAGGAGCGGAGCAAAGATGGGGTGACCCGATTGCTATGAAGCTGAAACTAAGACTACCAGACTACCAGACTACCGCTTGTCTTCTTCTCCGTCAATCTTGTCACGTCGTCCCCTTGCCTCCTTACCCGGCAATCTTGCATTTTGTCGCAATGTTTTCGATTCCATTCCTCCTCATAAAGTAAAGTTAAGGACCCTTTCCACTTCTTTAGGCGTATATGGCATTCCTTCTCATAGCATGTCATAAGCAATGACCGTTTACATCTCGTCTCTTTAATCAGCGGACTACTTGCAAATATCTTTACGAGTGCCGCCTTGGTCAGTTTTCAAACCTTCCGTGATTTTTTGTGTGGTACGTTCATCTAAAACAATCATTCCCCCACTGACTGGAAATTTAGGTCAAGAACTTGTTTCCAAGCCTTTAGGTGTATTGGGCATACACTGTTACAGAAGTCAGCGCCAAGTAGGTGATGTAGTCAACTTCGCATAGGCCGTCTTTACATTCCCAGGACTTTACCTCATTACCGCTTCAGTCTCGTTTAACCTCGATCCCCAAAGCAGTTTTAAAAAGTCCATCTCCTTTCAGATTTGAATCAACGACTTTTGGATCCCCAAGCGAGCGTCTACCCTTAATGTCGCGGCGGCACCCCTCCACTACCTGTTGTTTTTCTTAAAATTGACCTGCAGGACAGTAGCCTGGAAGATTGACACCCACACTGTAGCCTGGAAGATTGACACCCACACTGTAGCCTGGAAGATTGACACCCACACTGTGGCCTGGAAGACTGACACCCACACTGTAGCCTGTAAGACTGACACCCACACTGTAGCCTGAAAGACTGACACCCACACTGTAGCCTGGAAGATTGACACCCACACTGTAGCCTGGAAGACTGACACCCACACTGTAGCCTGTAAGACTGACACCCACACTGTAGCCTGAATGACTGACACCCACACTGTAGCCTGGAAGACTGACACCCACACTGTAGCCTGGAAGATTGACACCCACACTGTAGCCTGTAAGACTGACACCCACACTGTAGCCTGAAAGACTGACACCCACACTGTAGCCTGTAAGACTGACACCCACACTGTAGCCTGTAAGACTGACACCCACACTGTGGCCTGGAAGATTGACACCCACACTGTAGCCTGGAAGACTGACACCCACACTGTAGCCTGTAAGACTGACACCCACACTGTAGCCTGAAAGATTGACACCCACACTGTAGCCTGGAAGACTGACACCCACACTGTAGCCTGAAAGACTGACACCCACACTGTAGCCTGAAAGATTGACACCCACACTGTAGCCTGGAAGATTGACACCCACACTGTAGCCTGGAAGATTGACACCCACACTGTAGCCTGGAAGACTGACACCCACACTGTAGCCTGGAAGATTGACACCCACACTATAGCCTGGAAGACTGACACCCACACTGTAGCCTGGAAGATTGACACCCACACTGTAGCCTGTAAGATTGACACCCACACTGTAGCCTGGAAGATTGACACCCACACTGCAGCCTGGAAGATTGACGCCCAGTGGCTCAAAGAGCCATTTTTCGGATGCGAATCTAACAGGAGTTAATTTCAGAAACCCCGTTCAACCGTTTCATGAAGTTCTATCCAATATGTGCAAACAGGAAGTGGCTGAAGAGCTCCACAACTCCCCAGTCAATGTAGAGATCATCAAGAACAAGGGAGACGACTGCGACCATGTCCAGTTCGCCATCACAGAGACAAACAAGCAAACCACAAAGGAGACATCCGACATGGAGGTTTTCGAGTACAACCTGTCGTCGGAGCCAAAGATCAGTCCAGCTTCGTTTTGTCGAGCGTTTCCATTTCACCTGTTGTATGACCGGGACCTGGTCATTCAGCAAGCTGGCACATCAATCAGTCGAGTGATTGCTCAGGTAAATCATGTAGTCCTATGTGTGTGTGTGTGTCTGTGTGTGTGTGTGTTTGTGTGTGTGTCTCTGTGTGTGTCTGTGTGTCTGTGTGTCTGTATATGTGTGTCTCTGTGTGTATGTGTCTGTGTGTGTGTCTGTTGCTCTCGCTGTGTGTGTATCTCTGTGTATGTGTGTAGTTTGCGCGCGCGCGTGTGTGTGTGTCTGTGTGTGTCTGTGTGTGTGCGTATGAGTCTGTGTGTGTGTCTGTGTGAGTCTGTGTCTGTGTGTGTGTGTCTGTGTGTGTGTCTGTGTGTGTGTGACTGTGTGAGTCTGTGTCTGTGTGTGCATGCGTGTGTGTAAATGAGTGTGTGTGTGTGAGGCTGGGCTAAAATAAAATCCTCATCTGCTCTGTCGTGGTGACAGCACTAGCCATGTTGCCTTAAAAAAAAAAAAGAAGACAAGTAAATG